GCAATGAGGAGCCGATACAAGGGTTTTCTCACAGGGTAGGAGCTTGAAGGAATCAGATTTACGAAAGATAACTCCAGCAGCAATTTGGAGGATGAACTAGAGCTGGTGTTGACTGGACTGGCAAAGCAAGCAGTTAGGAAACTATTATAATGGCCTGACTGCAACCACCAAGGCAGTGGTTCCTGCCTTCAGGCAGTGGACCTGAACCAAGGCAAAGATAAATAGGAGTGTATGTGCACGTGGGTATGCATATGTGCAAGAAGAAGAGAAAAGGAAAGAGAAGGAGAGATATTATGTGTGTGTGTGTGTGTGTGTTGTATATATGTGTGTTGGCTGAAATATTTTTATGAACTAAGATCTTCAGGCCTTGGTGAGGTATTGAGAAAGAGGAAGGAAGAGGAAGAAACTCAGTAATTTCATTGTATGTATAAGCACAATATTTATATCTTATCCCAACCTCACATATTGAGATCCTTGTCAGTTTAGAAGATATGGTTATTTGAGTAACACAATTTCAAGTTTGCCTTTGAAATATCCATGAAAACAGTGGTTACCAAATGCCAGACAATGGGTTTTCCATATTAGAATCCCCTGGGGTCTTCATTAAAAACAGATTCCTGGGAACTTACCACAGATCTAACAAATCACTCTGGGTGGGAGCCCAGGGAATTCATATTTTTAACTATCAGGTCAAATGACTGCTGGGAAGCTGTGATTGGGAACAACCACTTTTAACAACTCAACTATCAGTCAACTTGAAGAAGGATGTACAAATGCTCAGAGGAGTAAATCTCTCATGCAACATTCAAGAATGCATACACTACCAATATTTTCATTATACAAAGAGACAAAAGGCCCTCCATTTGATACCACTTTTGGGGGGGGGCTCATCTCAAAGTAACTGCATATGCTTTAGAATAGCTTATTGCATTTCTTTCGGCATATTCCTTAATTTAGTCTCTTCAGTAGTTTACCCTCAGCCTAATGTTTTGATAGATATCAATGAGTAACAGGCCAAGCTGAAGCTAAGCAGTCTGCAGAAAATATTCAGATGTAAGTCCTATTTCTTTTTCTCTTTACCTCCCACCCTAGGTGAACTCATCCAGTCCTGTTGCTTAAATAGCATCTATATGCCGATGACTCACAAATTTTTACCTCCATCCTGAATCTCTCATCTATACTTTAGGGTCATATATCCAACTGTCTCCTTGTCATCTCTAGTTGGCGTCTCATACGGATCTCGATTTTAAGAAAGCTGAAAAGTACTGAACTCTTAAATCACTCCACCTAACCTTTTCTTCCCCATCTCCAATCTTCTCAACCTCAGCAAATGGTACCACCATTTACCCAGTGGCTCTAGCCAAAATCCTCAGGGAGATCATTCTTGATCCCTCCCTCTTCCTAACCACCCCCTTCCACGTCAATTTCTAAATCTTGTGAATTTTACCTCCCAAATGTATTCCAAATCTGCCCATGACTCTTCACCTCTACTTCTATGACCTTGATCTGAGCCACCACCATCTTTTGCTTTAGCTAACAGAAGCTGGGACCATTTCTCTTCCAAGCCACTCTGACCACTGCGGCCAGAGGGCTCTTTAAAAATTACAGCACCTCATGGCCCTGCTTACAACCCCCGAGCGGTGTTCCAGTGCACTCAGAATCACATCTAAACCCCTTTTCAGGGTTTCCTTTCTCTTCCATCTCATCCAGGCCCTGTGTCCTTCCATCACTACCCTCCAATCAAATGGACCTTCCTCTAGGTCCTTGAACACACCCAACTGCTCCCCATTGCAGAGCCATCACTCCTGCTCCTCCCAAAGTATGCAACTCCTAACCAGGCTAAATTTTCGTCTTCCAGTCTGAGCTAAATCTCTGTCCCAAGAGGTTTGCCCTCTTCATCTAGGCTAAGATTCAGCACACCTTTTCTGTAGGGAGCCAGATAGGAAATATCTTAAGCCACACAGGCCATGTGGTCTCTATCATGACTACTCAACTATTTTTGTAGCAAATCATCCATAGGCAATATGCAAATGATATGCCTGACTATGTTTCAATAAAACTTTATTTACAAAAAAAGGGAACAGGCAGATTTGGCCTCTAGGCTGTGGTTTGCTAATTCCTGACCTAAACCAAAGTATTACTCTTCTGCTATTCTTTCTCAGAGCTTCTCATAAGTCCTAAACATGTGCCCACTGCCTGTGTCTCCCACTAGTCTCTTAGCTCCATGAGGACAGAAAGCTCAGGCTCTTATGTATTCCCCATCAAATATATAGTTCCTGGTAGAGCGCTTGCCGCAGTGTGGCCTCAGTAAACACTGGTCGGATAAAGGAAGAAAAGGACAGTTGAGGAAGGAAGGGAGAATTTCTCTTTGAAGCCCAAGTACTTTTTGTAAAAAGGCAGCAGCCATGTCTGGCCTGTACTTTTTAACTCCTTTCTCAACAGAGTTCCTGGGTGAATCACTTATTCATTTATTGCTTTGTTCATTCCATCATTTCTTCAGCAATGCAGTATTTACTAACATCTAAGATGGCAGGCTGAGGGCTCTTCCCAGATCTCTGCTCCCAGAAGCCTTCTTTCTGGTTTTCTGCTGGGAGGCCAGTGCAAGATTCAAGCTTTGTGAAGTGAGATTGAGAGGCCAAAGCAATTAGTAGAAAAGGCCAGCAGGGTCGCCTCTCAACCAGAAGGGAGCCCTGCCCTCTCTGCCCTGACTCATTACCCTAAAACAGCCCTCCCCACAACTCTTCACTGTTTCTCCACTTTGGCAGATGAAAAGCGAATAATTGTGTACCCTGAAAATTTAGCACCAACACTGCTTTGAAAGAGACGCCACGCGAGGGTTCCATGTCCCACTCCTCCCTCCCTCCCCCCGCAATCCCTACGCCCTTCCCCATCTTCCCCATCCTCCTCCAGGCTGACTGGAATGCCAGCAAGGAAGCTGAGAGATGGGCAGTCATTAAAGATCATCAACTATAGAGCTCTTCACCAGGCAGGATTATGTTTAATAGACAGCAAGAGTATTCCTGCTGGCTCCTGTTAAGTTTCATCAAAAGTGTGCCTAATTAAATTCTTCAATTAATTATGCTCTTCTGCATTACAAATTTTGATCAAATTGATTTAATTTGGTGCAGGGAGAGATGTTCCTTCACATGCAAAGTGAACCCGTCTGAGATTAGGTTCTGTGCCCAGAAGCCTCTTGGGATCCCTCTAATCTGGATTGCCTTTACCCTCCTGCATCCTGGGAATTGGTGAATCGCAGGTGGCTCAGGGAATTGGCAATTGTTGCTCTGCCCACATCTGCAAGAGCTGTCCTGAAGCCACAAAGAAGCTGACAGCTGTCTTCCCCCACCCCCTCCCCCCTCTCAGCCTCCCTTTCCTCCTCTGCTTTAAGAAACACCCCCATCTTGGGAAAAATCGCACCCAATCTGTCAGTGAAATATGCTGTGGGACTGAAGTTCTGGCAATCTGTTTCCACTCTGGAGACAAATCTCAGCTTGTTAGTGGCCTTACAGAGAACTTTAGAGCGTCCTTAGTTCACAGAGCCCCAAAGCAAACAGTGCCCCCATCACCCAGGCCAAGGCATTCTCCCCCTCCTTCCACTTACGGTCAAAAGTCCTGCCAAGACTCAACTTCCCAACCCTTCTTTCTCCTTTCCAGGGTCCTACACTCCATCCTATAAGGCCCTGAGACCTGACATCCCCCAGGCAACCCCCTCCACCATATAGCCACTCGGCAGCCAGACCTTCCTGATGGTCTCACCCTCATCAAAACATCCCTATGTGGGGCCCCACTCACTCCCTAGGGCTTCTCCTATTAATTGACTAGCCAATCTGATGATCAAATTTCTTCCCAAACAACAAAAGCAATAACAACAAAAATTTTTTTTTAAAAAAATGCTCCTTACTGCATAAGCCAAAGTGCGAGCTCCCTTCCATGTGGGTGTACCCGGGGTTAATTTGTCCTATGTAAAGCCACAGACTAAACGCTCCCTGTCATCCTACAGAGTCAGTTTTACTCAGAAATAATTTAAACTCTTATTTGTATACTGCAGAATAAACTAGAAAATTCACACGATGTATTAAGACAGAAGAGGAGACTTGAAAGGTAAGCCTTTTGGGGGCTGCAGCCCCAGGCCCCTTAGGTCTCAGTCAATTACCTCCATCTTGGGCAAAGAAGCATAGCATACATGGTCCTGGTGATGCCTTTCTCACCATGGTTAATGCGCGCCCCCTCACTAGGACCTCTGACACCAGAAGACTCTTACTTAAAGTGTGTCCATCCCCCCGGGAAGAATGCCTAAATCTACTTCTGCCTCGTCCTCTCCCTTCAACTCGATTCGGAAATTGTCAACTGCTTGATTGGACATTTTCATTTGCATGGTCTGCCACAGCCTTGAAATGAACTTGCCTACAATTCTAAACCTACCATTTCCTGCCAGTACCATCAAACCTGCTCTCCCTTGTCATTCCCCAGTTTCTCCTAATGGGGCCCCAATTTTCCCAGGCACTGAGTGGGGGGAAACATAGCAGACATCCTCAACATCATCCATCAAATAAGTAAATAAATAAATAGGAGTTGCTTTTAGTGTTGTTATTTCAAAACCATCGCATGACGAATCCTTACTTGTTCTTTAATGGGTAAATAGATTAGATCTTAGCGTTGTTGTTTTTTTTTAAACAAATATGCTTTTGGTTCGTGATTCTTTTTGAGCATGCACTCCATAATAGTTTAGAACTAGATGTTTCAACCCAACTTAATAATCCTCTATCCCCTAAGCAAGGCCATTGCCAAGTCCTGTCAGCACACAGTAGGGCTCAACAAATGCTAGGTGTTAATAGAAATAATAATAAATAAAAATATATCATAACATGGTAAAAGATGTCAGTGGATGGTATGCAGTTAGCTGCCAAGCGAGCAAGGAGAGAAGGCTAGGAAAGCAGAGAGAGAGCTGATAGGTCAGGAGAGAGTGGTCCCTCCCACCCCGACCATGTGGTGAGACGTACCATCCAGGGAAATTTAGGAAGGTAGCCAGGAGACTTTGAGGCCTGCTTGTGAGACAGACAAACCAGCTTCCCCAGAGCTTGTGGTTTATGCTTCTTTAGCAAGATGATGCTGACTGGAGAGCAGAATCCAATGGAAGGAGAGTCATGCTAGGGCAATGGCTGGTGTGGCACAAAGCCAGAAGGCCTGAAATGAAAAGTATAAAAGGCATTACAGAGGAGGCACTCAAGAATTTATGTAGTGAATTAATTATAACAATATCTTAATGGCTAAAACATTTATTGAGAGCTTGCTCTGGGCTGAGCAGCATTTAAGTGTTGTACAGGCATTACTTGTTTAATCCCTGCCATGGTCTGGAAAGGATCTTTTATTACGCTGATTTGATAGATGTGAAATGAACCTCAGAAAGGTTAAGTAATTTGTGCAAGGTTGCACAGCTAGAAAGTGGTGGAGTTAGGGTCTGAATCCAGAGCCTGAGTGTTTCATCCTCAAATTTTTCTTCCTCCTACTTAAATGTCTGCATTTTTATTTGAATTTCCTCTTTCTTCCTCTAACAATGTTACAACTCCACACTCAGTAAACTCTTTGAAGGCAGAGGTAGGGTCTCAGAGTTCTTCAAATTCTTCTCAATGCCTCACCCAATGCCTTCTATAGTAAATACTTAATAAATATGATTCATTTATTGATAGAAATATTTGTTAATGGCACAACGTTGAGAAAATCAGGCACTGTAACAAACAGGGGAAAACTTTCTAGAAAGGATCACTCAGTCTTATCTGGTGAAGCCTGTGTACTATCAACAGGCTGTACGCAACAGTCTCTCCTGGCCCACACAGCACTGCTGGTTTTGTTGCCTGGGACCCTCTTTTCTTACCTTCCCCCTTTTCCTGGTTTATTCCCTCCTGTACTATAGACCTCAGCATAGATGCCTCTTCCTCCAGGAAGACTTCCCCGATTCCCCCCAAATTTGGATTAGAAGCTCCCACAAAATCTTATACTTCTCCCATCACAACATTTATCCCACTGCATTACAATTATCTAGTTCACTCTTCAGTCTTTCCCAAGTAGATCATAAGCTTGTTGAAAATAGGGTTGTCCTCACTACCTAGCACATGGTATATATTTTTTAATATATATATATTCTATATACATACATACACTGAGTATACTATATACTTGTTGAATATATATTTATTGAAATAGTTGTAATGAGAGTTCTCTTATCTCACCCAAATCAAGGTCAATATGCCCCAAATCTTCAAGGCACAGTGGAGGAGCAGTGAACACAAATTTCCCTATTTCACAGTTTTGTCTAAGCCAGGACTCGCATTCTCTCAGGATATACCAAGGAGAAAAAGTGATGGAAAGAAGCTGGAAAGGTAGACAAGTTTACTGGCCTCATCTACAAGACAGCCCCAGTTACCCGGGCTTTGTGATTTGGGGCAAGTTCCATACCCTCTCAAAGTTTAGGTGAGGAAGTGGTGAAGCACTCTGCCTCCCTCATGGGATTGTTGTAAAGATTCATTAAGACGTAAAACAGAACAGTGCCTGGCACACAGTATCTGCCCAGCAAGTGTCAGATGCTGTTATAATTTTATAGCATCAACTGGTATTTGAGTGTGAGATTTTCCATTTTTACTCATACGGAGTAACTCTGCCTGGACACTTTAATGTCATTGGTATATTATTATGTAATTAATATACACAAGTAATATTGCCCGTAATACATGCAATTAATTAAATGTTTGGAGATGCAGATGTCTTGGAAACAAAGTCAAATTGATTAAACCCAGCTGGTCTAACTGACCACAAGTGTGGTCTGACTGGCTACATGAAGCAGCCAGGCTTTGGCCAGACCAGAGGATTCATCAACAGTCTCAGATCCCTGGCTCGGCAATAGTTCTCACTCCTCAGCACCTTTCCAATCCAGTTCACAAAGCTGAAAATTAAAACAAGTTAATAAGAACCATAAAATTTTGATACCAACAAATGTTCTTAAATTTTACTCAGCCATAAAGCTATTTACGACAGGAGAGTAGAAAGTTTCCCTCTAATTTTTTAAGCTGTGAGCAGCAACATGAACAAACAATGCAGACTGTACATTCAAGAACAAAGTTTGGAACTGTGATCAAATACATCAACAACAAAAAGCAAATCTGACATATTTAATGATAAATCTTTTTATTGTGCTGTGCAGTAATTAGACAAAATGAAAAGTTCACGTAATGGCTGTAATTATTTAGTCATATTACTTTCATGCTGTCAAACCAAACTTTCATGGATTTTCTCTTTCTATTTTGTTAGTTATTCTGCATTTATAAAAAGCCCCTGTGTTGACTATTTTCTCTGATGCTACTTAAGATTTCAATGGACTCCTCATTGCACGAAGGCATAATTAGACATAAGCACACACCCACATGTTGGAAGATAGAGATCTAGGACCCGAGTCTCCATGTCCTGAGCTCCTGCATGCTTCTCTGGCTCAGGGCAATAGCTCCTGAGACCACCTATTTTCCAGCCTGTGAGGTCCAAACCTTCCCCTGTACCTCTCATTCTCTCCTGAGATAAGAGTTTCTGAATAAGAAGATTGCTATAGTCCCCTTTCCATAGAAGGATCATTAACCTCATTTGATGATGTTAGCTGCCCTAACAAATAGAACCCTAATTACAAATAGATCACAGCTTATTATGTTACATAATGGCTGTAACGTAATACTCGTGTATTTCTGCTCACTTAACAACCCAAGGCAGGTATCCCTGTTTGTCATGAGACTCTCTTCCACCCAGTGATTTGAGGACCCAGAACTCCTTCTATCTTGTGGCTTCACTGTTCCCTAAAGCTTTGTCTTCATTGTCTGCACTCATCTAGCAAAAGAGAAGAGCATGGATGAGATCTCGCTACTTCATAAAAACTTTGACCCTGACATTGCACCCATCACTGTCATCAGAACTTGGCCACATAATCACACACCCAATTTCAAGGGAGACTCCGAAATGAGATCAAGTTATTTGCTCAGGAAAAAGAAACAGGTTTTGATGTACAGCTTGCAATCTCCACCCTTCCTGAAATCAGTGTGGAAATGAGGAGGTAGAGTCAGCAAACCAGATGTAGAATTGGGGGGGTGGGGGGATGAAATGATATAGCAGGGAAAATAAAACAAGAAGCTATAAAGTTCATTACTGGAGAAACTGGGGAAATATGAATTTTTCCTGTACAATAGTATTATATTAATGCTAAATTTCCCAAGTGTGATAATTATGTTGTGGTTATGGAGGAGAATGACCTTACTCTTAGATGGTGGCTCCCAAAATACTCAGGGGTGAAGTACCACTGATGGCTTCAACTTACTCTCAAATGCTCCTCCAAGTGCACATACAGAAAGAGAGGGAGAGGGAGAGAAAGAAGGAGAGGGGGAGGGGGAGAGAGAAGGAGAGAGAAAGGGAGAGCTCAAATGTGCTTAAATGTTAACAATCTGTGATTCCTGATGAAGCCTATTCAAGGAGCAAAAGCCTGTAGGTATGACATAGGCCAGGAAGGACACAGTATGCTGAAGACAGGAAACCGGGCCAGGGTCGCTGGAGTATAAAATGCCCAGCAGTGAGGGCAGGAGATGAGCCCAGAGAAAGGTCAAGATCATGACAGGGTTTGCATAGTGTGAGGCTTGACTTTATCTTGCAGCCAATGAGGACACATTTAAGGGCAGGCAGGGATAGATCTGGTGGGTCTTTTAGGTAGAATGTGCTCAGGGAAGATTTAAGGGGAACAATTCTGGATGAAGTGATGCAGTTTCATTCACTTAACAATTTCAGGTGCCAGCCCTGTGCTAGAGGCTATAGATATGCAGTACCGGGATAGCCACTGGATATGCGGAAGAGCGAAATCAAGATGTGGTTCCTGCCTTCTTGGAGGTTAGGGTCTAGTGAGTGGAGACACACATAAAGTAATAATTGTAAGAACAAGTGTAAAATTACAGCTGTGACAAGAGTTAGGAAGGAGATGTTCGTGATGCCCTAGGAATCTGTGATGGCTGCACTTAGTTTGGTCAGGGAAAGCAGCATCTCCAAGAAACTGGTGTTTGAGATAAGACTCATAGAATGAAAAGGAGTTATTTAGGGAAAACTGTATCAGGCAGAGGAAATAGCATGAATAAAGGCTCTTTGGTTGGAAGGAGCATGGCATATTTGACTAAAAGAAAGACCAGAGTGGCTAGGAGGCAGTGAGTGAAAAAAAGTATGCCTGATGAGATTGGAGAGACACACAGTCACCAGCCCTTGTAGTGCCTTGTAAGCCATGTTAATGGATTTTGACCTTTACCCCATGTGCACTGGGAAGCCATTCAGAGCATGTAAGCGTGTGAGTGCTGAGGGAGGGATAAGTGACATAATCCTGTAGCTGCACAGTGGAGAATGGGTTATACTATAAATTTCGGCAGACCAGTGAGGAGGGATGATAAGAGATGGAGAAAGGGGATGGAGCCAAGAAATCCTTAGATCACGAAGTAAGTATAATTTGGTGTTTGGTGTTTGATTGGAAATGCCACAGTTATGGGGTGGAAATTGACAAAACCAGGTGATGGTGTTATCAAGTGAAAGAGAGAATACTGAAGAGGAAGCTCATGACAACCACAGGGAATTCAGATTGAGACAGGATGTGTTTGGGATGCCAAGTAGAGCTATCTAGCAGAGGATTAGATAAATATCTGAAATTTAGGAAGTAGTGACTTGGGGGTACTCAACATTTAGATTTAGATTGAGGTGATGTCAATGCCACAAGTACACCATCTTTTAAAGTCAGAGAAGACAGAGCCCATTTCAGATATAGGGAATCAAAGTTCAGAGAGAGACAAAAATAACCAGGAGACTATGGTATAACAAGAAGTTGGGTGTAGGGAGATTCAGACTGTCAAACGTCCAGCATGTCACTAGAAAATAGGAACTGAGGAACATCCAGGACCATGGTGATTAAGAATATCATTGCGCACCTCAATAACAACAGTTTCAGCAGAGTGATGGGGTAGAAGTCAGAAACCAGCTACATTAGAGTATAGGAAAAAAAGACAGTGGGCAGAAATCACTCTTGGGGGTAGTTTAGATGACAGAGGTCATAGAGAGATTTGACAGTGGCCATGGGGATTTGGGGTCTGGATTGGAGGCATTTAATTCTATCACTCACTCACCACACTTAT